CCCCCCCCCCCAGAGATTCTGATTCTGGAAGGGGTGGTGACGGGAGGTGGAGGTGCTGTGGAGAGGTCACTGGAAACTGACTTTTTTAGAAGAAGCCATATGCCATTTACGAAATAGTCACAGGGATGTAAAGCACAGCACAGGGAAGCAATATAGTCAATAATGTCGTAGTAACTATGTATTGTGTCAGGTGGGTACTGGGAATATCAGGAGAACACTTTGTAAAGTATATGATTGTCTAACCACTATGCTGTACATCTGAAACCAACACAAAATAATACTGAAAGTAAACTGTAATTGGAAAAAATTCTAAAATAAATAAATAAATAAATAAAAGAAGCCATATGTAATTCCTCTGTAGGTGGTTTATGAACTGAAGCCTGGCTAGATTACAAGCTCCTTGCTCATGGGCTCCTTGACCTGCAGGCTTCTGAAATCAAATCCTCCCCATAAATCCAAGGCATAACTCTTGTCTGAAGTTTACCATATGGGGAATTTGGCATCATCTGGAGCACTGTTTAATTGCAGAAGTCCAAAAAGTTTTTGCACGAAAGGTGCCAGTTCTCAAGTACCTTTTTCTTTCCTGAGAAAGGTGTACAATGTGGTTCTTTGGTTTTTAGAAATCAGGAAAAAGACAGTGAGGGGCAGATAGAGGAAGAAGTGGAGTTGTATTTAGGGACACAGAAGTGGAAATTATGTTGGTCTGTGTTTCTTTATATGAATGGCAAAAGAATGCAATTGCAAAGAGAGAAAAAAACAACCCTGAAAATTGGAGAAGATTTAAGAAAGACACAGAGAAAAATATTAGTAAGTAAAATATTCAAAACTGTCTTAAACTCTTAATCAAATTGGAGACTAAAGGTTGTCGCTCAGATTATGGTGATTTAAAGAGAATAATTCTTAAGTGATCGCTTCTGACATACTAGACCTTTTCCTGAGAAAAGGAGATGTCGATCACTGCCCTTGGGAATCCAGTTCTTTTCAGTGAGGATGGGTAACTTTAGCTGATTTTATCACCCCACCACCAACACTTAATCTACCCTTACCTGAAGCAGCATGGTTTCCCATAGCACTATGCTAATGTTCTTTCCTAGAAATAGAAGAAATTAATGCAATAATTGCCTCCAAATCAAGGCTCAGTTTCTCCCTTGCAAGGTCCCCAGTAGATGCTGCAGTCCCACATCAAGCTTAGTCTTTACACAGGACGGTTATTTCAGATGAGATTCACCATGTTGCCAACAGTCAGGTGCTGGTCAGGCGGCCAGAGGGTCTTCAACCCATAATAAAATCTAGGCTTTTTGCTAATTTCAACAGTAACTACTGAAATGACCATGTTTCAATATTCTAGCATGGATGAGTAATAACTTTTTGGAACAACACCAAAAAAGAGTTTCTCTAACCACAAGAAGATGACCAGTTTATCTTGCTAAGGGTGTTACCTACCTGGTCCTCTTGTAGAACAAGTGTCTGGTAAAGAAATAGGACATGAGCGATCAAGGAAGAAATATAGCTGTCTACCTTGTGTATCAAGCTCATTGCTCTCCCTGCCTAAAATGAACCACAGTGGCTTTGGACAGAGGAGTGGCGCCTCATTTCTTTGTGTTTTTGCCTCCTTGGGTAAAGACCTGACCCCACTCCTGTGTACCTTCCAGAGGTTGCAGGAGCTCAGGCAAGCGTGTTTTCCAGAGGTTTACCAGTTTGGGGTGAATTATCTCAGGCAACAACTTCAAAAGTCCTATTGCACCAGCCCCACATGGTCTCCCTAAGCTGGCGAGCATAGATAGTACCTGGAAGATAGAAGAGAAAATGATGGTCAACTTGGGGGTATTTAAAAGGCCACCTACCTGTTCCTCTTTCCTCTTGTTGTGGATTCCCTGGATTCCCACATTAGCTAACCTTTTAACGAGTCATCACAGTCCATTCTCACTGATTCTAGAGCTGAAACCAATGAAAGTTAGCAACACTTAGCTAGATTTATTAATTAAACAAGAGTCTGTGGAAATCGTGCTTGAGTAAAGGATACACATGGGGCAAAAAAGAGACTGCAATCTAAGCAATCGATGTGGAAGTTGTTTGAATGGTACTTACGGATCAAACTCAGGCGATGCTTATTTAAAAATTGTACAGTTTAACAAGCATTTCAGAGTGAGAAGAAAATCTAGCCAATTATATGTTTTCAGGAGTGCCATTAGCATAGCAGGACACTTACTATGCCTTTAGTGTTTCTTTTGGTTTGGAGTATCTTATGCACTTTTTATTAGCACTTATTTGGAGCTGAGTTACCGATGCTGGCTTCAGTTTATTCCACATTGGTTTTTCGTGACTCACTCACCAGGAGTCTGGCCAGGAGCTGTTGCGGTGAAGGAAGTTTCACTGGAAAGAGAAAGCCATTTTCATTATTGCCGTGGGGGCTAGAAAATTTCAGATTGGGGTTGGGTATGTGATCAAAGCCCTGTAGCCTTTCTGAAAATGAGTCTCAGAAAAGAGAAATGTTTTGCTTTGTTTTTGTTTTTTATAGTATGTTTTTATTGATTTTTAGAGAGAGAGGAAGGAAGAGGGAGAGAGACAGAGAAACATCAATGTGAGAGAGAAACATCAAATAGCTGCCTCCTGCATGCTCCCTACTGGGGATTGAGCCTGCAGCCCGGGCATGTGCCCTGACTGGGAATCGAACTGGCAACCCTTTGGTGCACAGGACGACACTCAACCAAAGGAGCCACGCCAGCCAGGGCTTGCTTTGTCTTTGAAGGTACAAACCAGGGCCTGTGGAGATGACAAGGGCCGTGGACTCCGAGGCACTCTTCTTCTTCCTCTCCTCTGCCATGATCAGAATCCGGATGATGTTGAACAGGTAGTCCAGGGTTCCCGTGTATTCTGCAGGTACCACGAACGTCAGGATTCGTGGCCAGAGCACCTGTGGCAAACACAAAATTTCCCCCCACTTGTTATCAGTTTGCTCTTTGGGCCAGATCAAAATGAAGCCATTAAACAATCTCCGCCCAGCACATTCACTTTCAGCCGCTTGTCGCAGCGAGTGTCGCCGGGGTTTCTCTGTGGGGTCGTTGCTGGGATTCAGGGCGGGACGATGGACTCCTCACTGCGAGGACGTGTTCTGGGCACTGCGGGAGGTGCCGCAGCCCCAGGAACAGCCTCTGACCCACGTGGACCGGCCTGTGACTGCCTCCTGGCTGTGCCAGGTATCTCTGGCCTCTAAGTCCTTTCTCTGGTTGTCTAGCTTAAGGAAAATACAGATTCCAAGGCTACGCCCCTCGAGGTTCAGGTTATATTGGCTTCAAGGGAGGCCTGAGAACGTGCGCTCTTAACACCCGCGCCGGTGAGTGGGGATGTTTAACATTCACCGCATGGCAACCACCATCCGCTATGGGAATGTCAAGGAAAGAAGAAAAGAATAATTGAGGTACTTATAAAGTGTCGTCTGCTATCCAGGTATCAGAGTAATGAATTAATTGATTCTATACCTGTCTTTGAGGAACTACTATGTGCTGGGCACTGAGCTTCAGAAAGCCGATGACACATGGGGCACAAGCTCGTGTCTTTACTCCCGAGCGGGCAGAGCTTTCGGAAGGAGATCCAAGACCCCCTACCTGAGGCATTCCAATGACCAGGGGGTCCAGCGTTCTTAAGACCTCGAGGCTTGTTGCTCGGACAGATTTCTCTCCCTTTTCTTCCTCACAGGAGTTAGGTCTCGCTGGTTTCTCCTTCAAGAAACATGAAACAGGTGACTTGGTAATAGTCCCTCCCTGTGTCCCCTCTGACTGCACATGGCTGTGTGCTCAGGCTCTGGGGTGGGGAAGGCTGTCACTCAGCTAAGGGGACCCATGGAGCCCATTGGCTTAGTCTTCGGCATCTAATTCCCATTTAAAATTGCTTCTTGGAGGAATCGGTGAGAAAAAACACCCCTGGCTGAAGCAGTAAAGAAAAATTGTGAGGAGCCTTGAACCGAAGACATTCCCTCTCTCTCTCAGGCCTTTGCCATTTTCTCTGGGACAAAAGGAATTCAAAGACAATGCTTCCTGGTGGGCTGCAGCTTCAGTGGTCACAGACTTGCTAAGATCTCTGAGATCTTACAAACGTGCTTTCCCTGCTGTTCATGCACACGACGCCAACTCCAGGGCAGCAAGTATCCCTGTCCCCGATTTTCTCTAAACAATTCGTTTTCTCTGCCTCTGTCCACACCGCCCCCACGCCTTGGAGGCCGGGCTGCCTCCTCCTTAGGGTAAACTGGGATTTAACTACCTGGCGTTTCGTGTAAGTCAGACGTGATATCGGGGAAAGGGATCTGATAACTCTAGAGGCTGAAGAATGTATCAGAAAGGGTGAGTGAAATGTAATTTCTAAGTCAGGTATGGGGTCGAACCCGCGCGTTTCTTTTAGGACCCAGCTGAGGCAACTGCACTTGACCCCGGGCAGCGCCTGGAGCCGCACCCTCTTCCTACCAGGTTCTTGTTGGACATGACAAACTGCGAGAAGACGTATTGGACCAGCGGCCAGCCCTCCTGGGCCTCGATGTAGCACTTCTCACACATGGTAAGGATGAGCAGGAGGGTGCAGTTTCTCACCTAGAGCGAGGGAAGCGCACTTGCAACAATTTACTGCGTTGGGCGGGATGGGAATTTAGCTTCTCCTATTCTTTAACCTTCCTGGATCATTTAGTGGGAACCTTTTTTTTAAAAAAGATTATAAATTGAATAATGTTACTCTCATAGACGGAGCAGGAGGTAATTTATAGGTGTCGACGAAAAGATCACCAGAAAAGCTCTCTCTAACCAAAATCTTTCTCCCTAGCTCCCAAGACATACCCTCTGTTATTACGTATTATAAAATGTTGCTAACTTTGGGCAAAAACACCACCCCGCTTCTGGGATTTTGTTTTTAAAATTTGGTGGCGACTCATTGGTGTCAAAACCCACACTGAACTGTTTTAAAGCTATTTGTGGTCTTTACTTAGTTTATGTAGTGTGGATATCCACCCATTTTCCTGCAGAAATATTAATGGGTCTGACTGTGGACTATTGTCATGGTAATGCTTTTCTAAAATCTGAAAATTCTGAATTCTGAAATATATCTGGCCCTGTGTGATACGTTTTTAATAATTTGGCCTCTGTTATTTATTGGATTGCTTCCCTCAAGGATAGCAAGCCCAGATCTAGTTCTTTAGTGAATGGGTCTTTTAATGGAGGGTGGGAAGTGGGAAGAAAAGAATAGTTTGGAATGGAGAGGCAGAACTACATGATGGCAATTATCAAAAAGGTCACCCAGTCGTCTCCCCAAGTGAACAAAAACAAGGCCCAGCTTCTCTCTGTTTTTGCCAGGGGAGCTGGCCTTCCTTAAAGTTTCTGTGTTCTTTTATTCTACCCCTAAATCTTCTAGCAATTCTTTAGTTGGCTTAGCCAAGTACTGGGTCAGGCTTTTCTATATAATCACTCTTGTTATTTATTGCATAACTTTTATTTTAAACACAGTCATAGTCAATCAAAGCTTCTTAGGGGAATTTTCTCTTCTTCCATTGGCTTTGATCCAAACAAAACACGGTTTTCATTCCAAAAATACGACAATTGGTAATTTTTAAAAATTTTTGTTAGCAGAAGTTTTCTGTCTTTCCTAACATGAAATAACATTGATCAAATAATCTAGAAATATTGAGCAATCTATTTCGTGCAAGACTTGCTCCAGGCGCTCCCTGCTTGAAAAACAGGATGTCTGTGCACAGAACGAAAGGTTCAGGGGATATTGTTTTTTGGAAGAAGACATATTATCTTTATCACTAACAAGTTATTTTTAGAACTGTATCTCATTTTGATTTATCTTTTGAGGGAAAAATGGAGTTCTTTTAAAAACAGAATTCATCAGAGTTCTTTATAAAGCAATCTCATAAGTAAACCTTTCAACAGTCCAAACTGTTTTGTTTACTCCTAAACTACCACCAACAGAAGAAAAGTCCCCATTAATTCTCTTACTTTTATGCTGAGGTCGCCCATGACAACTTTGACTGTACTTTCGATTGAAGTGATGTGATCCCTCAAGTTGGGCTCTGAAAGACAGAGGAGAAATTGAGACAGGTGACCCTGTAGGAGTCCAGTATGTTCTAGGATTGATAAAACCCATTAGAGTTTTGGCGCATAATTGAAAAGTCTCTTGTCCTTAACATTTTACGTTATTAACGTTCCTCCTATCTTCTTCATCTCCAACTCTTTAAAGATGTTGATTGCTTCCTTTGCTCCCTATTATGTTTGGTTTCATCTTGTTTAAAATTAAATTAGAGTCCAAAGCGAGTTCAATACATCACGCCCAATGGGTAAACTTTAACTTTTGTGAAACTAATTCACATTTCTTGTTTGATTTTCCAATAAATCTCAGTGGTGACTGAATTTTAAAACCTGTTATAATGTAGAGCAGAAATAAATTACCATATTTTATTAATCCAAGATACCATCAACTTTATGAGGCACCATTATTTTATATTGCATCAAAAATAAAAACTGTAATGTCTGACTATAATTTAAAATGCCGTCAATTATAACATATATTCCAATATCATGAAAACATGCGCTTCTCAGAATTTAAAAAATATGATAGTTTATTAAATTCTGCTCTTTTATAAATGTACTAATCTCTAGAATATTATGCATTCTTCTCGCCCATCCCTTGTTTATTGGGCCACTTAACCAGCTTACTAGATCTTCCAAATTCTAAATTCAATTCCCAGATATTCTACTCATCCTTCTCAACTCAGTGTATCCATAAATATAATAAAAGAAAAGAGGTAACTGGAAATGCCTGTTTAAAATTAGTAGATTGTAGACAACCAGGAAGACAGAGCTTCACTTGAACATGATGTTCTATAAACATCCAAGGACGTAGGTTAGGGTTAGAGCAAGCACAGGCTTTGGCTTTCTTCCTGGTACAAACGAAACCGCTCTGGCGTCCTCCCTGCTTACCTTCAGCATTGATAGCTGATCTTAACAAAGTCAAGATGCCCGTTCGAGTGACCTCGTTATTAATTCTTATTTGTTCATCAAAAAATTCCATCAGGTCTGCAGGGTTGGAATGGGCTGCAGGTTGAAGAAACACTGGCATCGTAACAACTCACTTTCCCCTCCAGTAAAATATATGTGAATGGGCGGAGGGGAGCGCCCTGAGGCTTGTCAGAGCAGCCCTTAATTCCCAGGTAGGTTTTATTACGCTCTTGCTTCTTGAGTATCACGGAAACATTGTGTGTGCGTGTGCGTGTGTGCGTGTGTGCGTGTGCGCGCGTGTGCGTGCGTGCGTGCGTGTGTGCGTGCGTGTGTGCGCGTGCGCGCGTGTGCATGTGTGTGCGCGCGCGTGTGCGCGCGCCTGTGTGCGCGCGCCTGTGTGCGTGTGTGCGCGTGTGCGCGCGCGTGTGCGTGTGCGCGCGTGTGTGCGTGTGTGTGCGCGTGTGTGCGTGTGTGCGCGCGCCTGTGTGCGTGTGTGTGCGCGTGTGTGCGCGCGTGTGTGCGTGTGTGTGCGCGTGTGTGCGCGCGTGTGTGCGTGTGTGCGTGTGTGCGTGTGCGCGTGTGTGTGCGTGTGCGCGTACACGCCCTTCGCCGCCGCCATCACCACCACCTGGCCGGCTTTGCTAAGAGCCGCGGGGGCCTGGGCCTACCTAGAACGAGGAAGCAGCCCGCGGCCTCGGCTTCGTTCTCCTTCACCGGGGGCTCGGGAACCCTGCACACCTGGGGAGGGAGCGGGCGGCGCTGTTGGCACGGAACCGGGCCAGCGGCACCAGCGGCGGGTGGCGCGGGCGCCTCACCTGGTGGAGCAGGTTGGTGAAGATGCTTCGCTTCAAGTCCCTCGGAAGGCTGATGTCATACAGGACGACCGAGGTCAGGATCTGCTTCAGGCTCTGGAATCAAAGGTTAGCTGGGCGCTGCCCGCCAAGCAGCAGACACGGCGTGGGAGGCAAATCCTTCGGTTTTGCGAGAACAAACCTCTCACCTTCCTGCAGTTACCTGTGTGTGTGTGTGTGTGTGTGTGTGTGTGTTTCTTAGTGACNTGTGTGTGTGTGTGTGTGTGTGTGTGTGTGTGTGTGTTTCTTAGTGACTCTGGCCCTTCTACCATGTTCACTGCTTCAGCAGCTCCTTCCTGGAGCTCCCATCCGACCCCCGCGGCCCGAACTTCCCAGGTTCAGCTCCCGCAGGGGCCGGTGCGTCAGGCCCTCCTGGGACGCGGTGTCGCCGGCCAGCTCCTGGAGGGTGTGGCTCCTACCTGAGTGACGTGGAAATCGATCTCTTTGTCTTTATACTGGCTCAGGAGCCAGGGAAGCTGGCCCAGGGCGTATTCGCAGAGGTCTTCCCGATGCAGCAGCAGGCTCACTGTGGGGCCGAGGGCCTTGACGATGCACAGAGTCTGCAGAGGCAGCAAGAACGAGCACTTCCAGTTCTGCGCTGCGCGGTTTGTACGTTTCTCCGTCCCAGGGGATTGAGAACCCCGTCCCCCCAAACCTTCCTCACTGCTTTCGACCGAGAAATGTTTCTTAGAAACTTTGAACAATGCTCAGGTTAAGATCAGTGCACGAGGCAGTTATGTTTATATTTGTATTTATATCTGCATCTTTATCTATATCGATTCTCATTTCAACACTTTTATTTCTTTGACCTGTCTCTAATAGTCACTTTCTTTCATTTCTATTTTTTTTTTTTTTTTTTTACCCTCACCCAAGGAGTGAGGGTGTTTTTTCCATTGATTGTTAGAGANTTTTTTTTTTTTTTTTTTTTTTTTTTACCCTCACCCAAGGAGTGAGGGTGTTTTTTCCATTGATTGTTAGAGAAAGTGGAAGGGGGACGGCGGGGGGGGGGCTGCGAGGAGAGAGGAGAGCGAGAGAAAGAAACATCGATGTGGCAGACACATCAGTCGGTTGCCTCCCACAGGTGCCCCGACCAGGGATTGGGCCTGCAACCCAGGTACGTGCCCTTGACCGGGAATCGAACCCGTGACCCTCC